ACAGAGGCTGACTTCATTATGTTCTCAAAAGCTTATACTTCTGGTACCTTTTTGTTTTGTCTATCACAGAGAGCAGAAAGTCCGGAGCTGTCCTTACCTAAGCAAATCACACCAACATCCTCAGCGTGGTCACAGTTATGCTTTCCCCATCCCCGGTGTTTGCAGTCCCAGAGAGCTGACTCATTTCCATTGCAGAACAGATCATCAAGCCAGATTGGTCCAGAACCAGCTCCTAATTTAGCTGAGCCAGAGAAACTAATGGCACTTCCACATCCGAGTTGTTTACAAATCACAGAAGCATGATTTTTGCTGAAGCTGTCGTCACACACCGTCCCCCATTTTCCCTGGAACTTGACTTCTACTCTTCCTGAGCATCGGTTGCCCCTGCTGTTCACCAGTCTCATCTCCAAATTAGATCCATCTAGAGAGGACACCGAGGTTAGGAAGTGAAATTCATTCATAAGCAGCTAATCGCTTAGGGTTTCCTGGATACTTGGAATTTAAAAATTAGTGTTTGGCTTTTAGATATTGCCCATCTCCACATATCAGAGAATTTTAGCATGTGAAAACTCAGTGAGCAATAAGGATTTCTCTCTACATCTGCTTTCCAAGCAAGTTGTATTATAGATCAGAATACTCTTTACTATAGAAAAGATCAATATGACACATTATTCACAAAAAAAGCAGAAAATAGTAAATTGGCCTTCTAATCAAGCTGTTGAAAATGAGAAAAATAGTCATTTACAAGATGCTTAGATTCCTTATTTTAATCTATTCATATTAAAAGAGTTCTAAGAATGAGTAATTGATGTTGAATTTGAAATTAGAAAATAAGAAAAGACTAAAATACCAAAATAAACACAACAGTCTTCAAAACACTGTGTGCTATCAAGTTCTTAAAAGTTGTGAAAAAAATGTAATTTATTTCAATTTTCTGACTCTAAGATTGTTTTTTTCCCAAGGAATTTACTATCATTTTCAGCAAAAAGGGAGTTTTTTATTTCCTTAATTTTTTTTTTTTACAATGAAACTTATTCTTCATGCCATGAATTTCTATGAGGAGTAAAAATATATGAAGAAAGAAGACTTTGGTTGATGTCTGGGGACACTGGAGAGGGTGGAGTTGGATAAAATTTTAGAAGCATCTTCTTGAACAAGAAATTAAATTTTATGAGCTCTAAACTCCAATCAAAGACCACAAGTTAGCAAGGCTTGTTTTCATCATGGGCAGTGAGTCATAATAATTGATAATTATAACAGGTCACAATCAATGTACATATAAGTGTATCACATATAGTATTGTTCAATCCTTACGAGTTTAAGCACTATATACTATCATTGTTAGCCCACTTCACAGATCAACAACCTGAGGCTCAGTTGCTGGACAGAGCATTTTTGAGAACCTAGAAAGATGGCAAAGCCAAGACATGAGTGGCAGAGCCGTAGAGGGAATAGCCCAGAATCAGTTTCCTGTTGATTAGTGTGCCAAGGGGTGAACTCGCTGAAGATTAAGCAAGAGCTAGGTGAAGGATCTCACAAATACAGACAGCAGATCTCTATGAAACTAGCAAGCCCATGAGTAGCTATCAGTTCTTTTTCTCTTATCAGGTTCTGGTTGGACCTTTAAGTTTATAAACTTCAAAAAGTAAGTTTAACTTCACTCTTCATTATGTAAGAAAATCAGAACACAGGGTGCCACACTTAAGCTACAGCTAAATATCAGTCCTATTTACAGGTAAGGACTGCAAGGATTTCTTATAGTTTTGAAATTTGTTATGAATGCTACGTTTGTTACCTCATCGTAATGATTAATAATAAAATAAACGAAGAGGAAGAAGTGAAGATGGCTGAGTCTACTTGGTAATGAAAGATGGAATCCATGAAGAAACTAATGTTTTCAGCACTTGTTATACACCAGAGAGTGTGCAGAGAGGTTGGCATGTGTCTTATTATTGAGTTACCAGAAGCTTAGAAACATTACATGATTTGCGTGAAGTTTTAGCATCAGTGAATAACTGCACTGGAATTCAATGGGACATTGAATCCAAGAGACACTGTAAGCTGAATTAGACATATGTGTATGGGGTTTGCAAGCCTTACCTGAGCAGGTCACTCCAGCATCTTTTTCATGGGTACAGTTATGCTTTCCCCACCCCTCATGTTTGCAGTCCCAAAGAGCTGACTCATTCCCTGTACAAGAAACCTTGTCCATCCAGATGTCCCCAGAGCCTGCGCTGGAGTTAGCCCACCCAAGGGCTTTAATAGATGTTGGGCATCCCAGCTGCTGGCAAACCACAGACACCTCGTTCATGCTCCAGCCGTTACTGCATACTGTGCCCCACTTCTCATGGATCTTAAGTTCCACTCTCCCACTACAGTTGTTTTCACCACCGGCCAGTCTCAGTTCCTTTTTCATTCCTCCTGCAGTAACAAGTCAACACAGTAACAAGTAACAAACAAGTAACAAGTAACAAGTAACAAGTAACAAGTAACAAGTAACAAGTAACAAGCAACAAGCAACAAGCAACAAGCAACAAGCAACAAGCAACAAGTTAACACAGCAAATTGTCAGAAAGACCAGATGACCACTTTTTAGATTACTTACATATAACTTAGAATCAGAGTTGGGACCCATTCTGATCCCACCATGGTACAATAGAAGAAGGCCATTTTATAGCTTCCAGATGGAACTATTAGTACCACATGCTTCAAGTGGAGCAATAGTAAACCTGGGAGAGCTAACGGCATGGTGCTACCTAGGATTTTAGTTGTATGGCTGGGTAGCCTAAGCAGTGACAATTTATACCATCTAAAATAAGGCGCACAGAGTCCTTCAGGATGAACTATGTATGTTTCTTCCTATCACAAACTCAATAGAAATCGAGTTGATAGTAACTTTATGTGGATGGAGAAAATAGTTGAAGGGAATTAAATAACCATTTTGTATATTTATGTAAAATTGCATGGATTTTTACTCATAAAAAATCTACTAAAACTAGTCTTTTAAAACTGAAGTTGAGAGAGTTGTTTTCCTATTATCTATGATTATAAACAACAACAACAATAACAATAAACAACAACAACAACAGCAACAACATTTCTCCTCCCTCCCCCCTTTCTCAGACTGTTTCAGCTGCTTTTTTGCTATTATTTTGGCTTAACCGAGGAACCTGGTGGCCAGGCTTCCTGCAACACTTTTTTTTTTAAATGTCATGTTTAGGTTTTAAATTTATTGAAGTGTTTCCGGAACTCCCTTTTGTCCAAACAACTCTGAGCTTTCTTCTCCTTTCTTTCAGTCTGCTATACACTGCTTTTAGTCTTTATGTAACACGGGGTTGTTTTATATGAGGGAAGAGCATGCTAATCATTTCAGGTTCGGTTAGAATATAATTGTGTAGTTTTGATATTTGGTTCTTTAGCTCTGCAGAGGATGGATTATTAGATGCTGTTTACCATACAGGGGAATTGTGATTTAGTCTGACAGTTCATATCAGGGTAAGATAAGGCCCAAAAGTAAGTTGTGGACAGAATACTTACCAGGAGTGTTAGTGACAGCAGAGGCGCTGAGAAGCGAGCTCACGGCCACAACGAAGAAACCTAGACGGACAAACCTTTTACAACCTGTGAAACAAGGGGCAGGAGTGAAGTTTACTAACAAGAGACTTTGGAGAAAAGGAGGTCCAGAGTTTGGGATCTGGCAAAGACTAAATCAATACAAAGAAAGACCCTTCCTTCAGAATGGAAGGCCAATGGGAAAGATCCAGATCAAGAATGATAGGGCTGGTGGAATAGCTTCGGAAATAAACACAATTGCTTTTGTGCAGCCCAGGAGTGAGGATTTGTGAATACACCGGGCAAGGAAGCAAATTTTAAAGGCAGGTCTTAAGCCTGCACTACTGAAAGAGGCATCAACAAAACTAGCTCTCGACCATGTCCTCTGTAGACTATAGGACAGGTTTCAGAGCTCTCTGTCCCTCTACCTTCTTGGCATCAATTAAACATGCTGCCCCCACCTGCATGCCTATCTGGTTCACACGGCTTCCTAACCACCTCATGGAAGAATGGCTGGTATTTCTTATATCACAACCATTCCACCAACAGGACCTGCTACATAACATTCTCATTTGTGTGACAAATAGTCTACTTTACATCCAAAAATACCCAAATGTTAATCTTATCATCCCCACATACAGCATAAAAAAAAAGTGCCATACAGCTCTGAGCTCCACAGTGACCACAATTCAGGACTCATGTGAAACTGCAGAATGATTTTAGCTGGTCTGTGCACGTCATGAAGTAGAATTTTGCACTGAGTTGGTTTTCCAAATTTCCTATTGGAAATCAACTTTTAGTCAGTATCAATTCCTACACTTTATCTCTCCTAACAAACCTTGCTTCATACCCAGGACAGGTCTGCTTACTTCAGATTCTGACTTGGTTTCACATCAGCAGTTTCATAAGATTCATGAAAACACTGCCTCCTTCTTTACGATTTCAGTTTGGGAACTATGGCTGATGAAAAGCATGTCCACAGGACCCGGCTGCCCCTTGCTATTCTTTGCTCTCCTATGCCAGCCACATTCATTCACTGCCAGAACATCTCATAACTCAAATAAAGGATAAATAGAAATAAGACACTTTTACCAGGAGATCCAGCACCTCCAAGAACCATTCTGTGCCTGCCCATTCCAAAGTTTGATGATTTTGATGGCTCGTGTGTCTCCTGGTACTATTTCATAGGCGTGTTCTCTGTAGAGCGTGGACGACCACGGAGGGAGAGAATCATCTCACTCTTAAGACTAGAAAGGCTCCAGAAGGAGGGAGGAGCCAATCTTAAAGGGAGAGTCTTTGTTTCCTTTATCCTCTTTCCCCTCCCACTTTGGGACACAGAACAACCAAAGGAAAGTTTAACAGTTTCCACAGATTTACAAAAACTAGAGAATGTATCCATTAATTCAAATGTTGCTCTTGATTGACTATTTTAATTAATGGATGATCAATCTGACCTTAGAGATGTTGCAGGTATGGCTGCTGGGTCACACCTGCATTAGTTGGTGGCAGAGAGGAGAGATGCTATGACTACACTCAGTGTTCTGATCTGTACACACATGAATGCTGAGTAGCCTAGCAGGTCTTGATAAAAGAAAGCCTGAGACAACCACCAGTCTGGTGCCTTGGAGGCCTGGATGAGCTCCCAGAGTAGGGAGTGAGCTAGGGACCATAAGCACCCTACCTGGGACCACGGGTTTTGTTGGGAGCCGCGTACGCCATTCAACAATGGCGCGGCTCCGTGTGGGAGCCGCATACGCCAACTGTCAATGGCGCGGCTCCGTCAGCGGTGCGGCTCCGTCAAGAAGCCGCATTCAAAGGCGCCGCTCTGTGAGGGAGCCGCATTCAGCGGTGCAGCTCCGTGAGGGAGCTGCACTCAAAGGCACGGCTCAGTCAGGGAGCCGTGAAGCAAAGCGCGCTGGCTCCCTGCCTCTCAGCCCGTGAGGGAGCCGTGAGGTAAAGCGCGCCTGAGTAAGGCGCGCCGGCTCCCTGCTTCTCGGCTCTGACAGAGCCATGAATGGGAGCGCGCATGCGCAGAGCACGCAGGCTTCCCGCGCTCTGGTTCCAGTCAGAGCCCAGCCGAATGTGCGCATGCGCAAAGGACAAAAAATGAATATGCTAATTAAGCCTTACTCTAAGAGCACTCCAAGAGCCAATAAGAAACTGGTATGCTAATTAGGCATCATTAAGGAGCCAATGAGCATGCAGTAAGTTCTCCCAGGATCCTATATAAGCAGTGGGTTCTGGGGCTCGGGTGTCCTTCGCCACTACCATCTAAGAGCTGTAACACCATCTAAGAGCTGTAACACCATCTAAGAGCTGTAACATCATCTGAAATTGCTGTAACCAGTAAATTGCTGTCAGAAGAATCCTGAAGTGTGGCGTGTTCTCCTTTTCGGCGAGGCGGCGCGTCGCAGGGTTTGGGGGGGTTCGGGGTGGGGGTGGGGAGAGAGTGAGCCCAAGACAGCTGACCCTTCCATGGGGCCCGCTCAGGTGGGCCTAGGCATTATGACCTCCAGTCCAGCTCCATGGAGCCTGAACATGGATCTAGCCTGAGATGACCACTAGTCATTGCAGCATAGGCCTAGGGGCAGACCATGCCCGAGATGACCCCTGACCAGCGTCCTAATGGACAGGTGGAACATAGCACTCTTGAGACGACTCCTGAAATGAACCCACACACTCAGAGACCCCGGGCACCACTAAAAGAAGCAAGTAAGTGGTGGAGAAATGGAAAAGAAAGAGAAATAGAAGAAACACGGTGGAGAGAGGCAGAACTGGAGACTTGAGAGGAACGGAGCTGGTGATACCACCTGAGAACATGCAGGGGTACTGGCCTGTGCTACCACCAGGGGCCACATCTGGGTCTGTGGCCCTGAAACAGTAGGGGTCTGTTACTATCAAAAGCTAGACAGACAGACACCCCTGGTCTGGCCTGCTGCCTGGGGCCACGTTGATGTCTGAGGGCTGTGTGGAACTAGCCCCACCCTTCTCCTGGGCGTCATGGGAGAGCTGATCCTGGGGCCATGAGAACAGGAGAGCAGACCCCACCCTTAGCCAGCTGCAGAACTCAGGGAAGCCTTGTATGGGCTGTCCAGTAGGGCTGGCCTTGAATGTGAGGATTGCAGGTAAGTCAGCCCATAGGGCAAAAAGCACGGGAGACTCGGCTCTACCTCTTGTTTGCTGTGTGGTGGTGGCAGCAAGGGAGGAGCCTCTTATCCCCCAACGGCAGATGGAAGTCTTGAGAGCTGGGGAGCTGTCTCTGACCTTTACCTGTTGCAGCATTTGGGTGAGCAAGTCCTGTACCTTGTCTACACAGCACAGTAGAACTGCCCCTGGACGTGTGAATTGTGAGTGAGCTGATCCTGAGGGTGTGAGTATGGGAGAGCTGGCTCTGGGTCTTGCCTGTTTTGTGGCACAGATGAGGGAGAGATGCTCCCCTCCCCATGTTCTTGTTCCTCACCACCTGTGGCACGCAGGAGCTCTGGCTCCGGGGTCATGAAAATGAAAGAATTATCCCTGTCCCTCACTGGCCTCAACAATCAGGAGAGTGGGCCCTGCAACTCACCTGGGAAGTAAGGTAGAGCTTGCTTTGGTTGTGGAGGTTGTGGGAGAGCCAGTCTCAAGGACACGAGAGCAGGACAGCTAGCCTAGCCCCTTGGCTACTGCAGCACTCAGGAGAGTGGGTCCCGTATCTTGCCTGTGCAGCACTGTAGAGCTGACCTCTATGGCGTGGGAGCGGGAGAGCCTGCTCTGCCCCTTGCTGGCTGCAGCATTGGATGGGCTAGCCAGGGCAGGTAGGAGAGCGCGCCCGATGGTGTGGGTACGGGAGAGCTGGCAGACTGACCAACTCAGATACCTTTCAGGCTCAGAACCAGGGCTTTGAGTTTGCCTACCCCAATATCTATCCCATGATGTACTGCTGAAGTGTGTGAAGGGGCAGTCCTACAGATCCAGAACTAAAGGATTTCCACGACACAGGGCAACAACAGGATGTCTGATAAGAGTCCCAATGAGGACCCAGTATGGATAGTGTAGCAGAAGCCACAGGCCTCAAACCAAACCGATGACTCATTGTAATGACCATTTGCCAGCAAAGACGTGTAGACTAGAGTATTCTGTGGGACACATTGGCATACTACAACTTCCACAATGAGATGTTTTTCTCTGTTGTAGGAGAGGTTCTAAGGATATAGGGAGGGTATGTGTGGGACTGTAGAATCCTGGGTGTTCGGCCATGCCCCCAGAACCCAGAGACCTGACACGGTGTCCCCTTGCTAGGTCACGAGACTAACAGGTCTCTGCCTCAAAATTTACGTATTACCTGAAGCCCCGCCCACTTCCAATATATAAACAAACCCCTTCCGACATGTTTTGGGAAAGCTCTACACCATCCAAACTGCCTTCGTGTTAATCAGCGCATCTTAAATCTCCACGTGTCTCTTGAAACCCTGGACTCATTGCGTAAGCCAAAACCCATGCGGAGGGGTGGGAGTGGGAGAGAGCTAGTGAGCCACGGTTCCCAGAACGTCTCCAATGCGGCGCCCGGGACAGTTTCCATCGGCTTCTGTTCGCGCCCGGTGTCCCACCTGACATCTGCGTGCAGGCGCATGGGCGCCGGCCCGGCCCCGCCCAGGCCGGCCCCCATGCGACCCGGGCGCGAGATTCGCCCGACAGGTATGGTAGGGGTGGGGGAAGAGATGAGTGGGATTGAGTGCTGATGTGAAATTCACAAAGAACCAATAAAAAGTTTAAAAATTTAATTGGTTATGTCTCACTTTTGTTATATGTATCTGCCTGCTTGTATGTTTATATACCACATGTGTGTGGGTAGAAACAGAGTCCAGGAGAGGACACTGGAGCCCTTGGAACTGGAGTTACAGGAGGTTGTGTACCACCATGTGGGTGCTGGGAGCAGAACTTGGTCCTCGACAAAAGTGGCAAATGCTCTTAGTGGCTAAGACATCTTTTATTTTATTTATTCACTTTACGTTCCACTCACTGCCCCTCCTCCTGACCACTCCCTCCCACAATCCTTCCATCCATCCCCTTCTCCTCAGAGAGAATGGAGGCCCCGCCCAAGTATCCTCCCACCAGGGAACATCAAGTCTCTGTAGGGCTAGGCACATCCTTTCCCACTGAGGCCAGACAAGGAAGTACAGCTAGCTACAAGAACATATCCCACAGACAGGCAACAGCTTTTGAGATAGCGTCTCCCCAACTCCAGTTGTTTGTGACCCACATGAAGACCATTCTGCACATCTGTTACATATGTATATGTTGGGGGGAGGGTAGGTCTAGCCTATGTATACTCTTTGGTTGATGGTTCAGTCTCTGAGAGCTCCAGGGGTCCAGGTTAGCTGACTCTGTTGGTCTTCCTCTGGAGTTCCTATCTCCTTCAGAGCCTGCAATCCTACCCCCAACTCTTCCATAAGAGTCTCCAAGTTCCATTCACTGTTTGGTTCTTGGTGTCTGCATTTATCTGAGTCAACTGCTGGGTGGAGCCTCTCAGAGGACAGCCAGGCTAGACTCCTGTCTGCAAGACTAACAGAGTATCATTAATAGTGTCAGGGTTTGGTGCTTGACCATGGGTTAGGTCTTAAATAGGCCTGGTTATTGGTTGGCCATTCCCTCAATCTCTGCTCCATCCCCTATCTCTGCATTTTTTGTATACAGGATAAATTTTGATTCAAAAATTTTGTAAGTGGGTTGGTATCCCTAGTACACCACTGGGATTCCTGCCTGGCACAGGAGGTGGCCTCTTCAGGTTCTATATTCCCAGTGCTGTGAGTCACAGCTGAGGTCACCCTCACTGATTCTTGGGTACTTCCCTTATCCGAAGTCTCTGTCTCTTCCTGGAGATGTCCCCCACTTCCTCACCCCCATCAGTTGCAGTTTTCCATTCATTCTCATGGTCATTGACCATCTCTCCTGTCCCTCCCCATACCTGATCCTGATCTCCCCATTTCCCTCCCCATCCTGTCTCCCATCCAGGTCCTTCCCTCCCTCTGCCTCCTATGACTTCTAAGTGAGATTCAAGCATCCTTGTTTGGGCTTCTTGTTTAGCTTTCTTTGGGTCCATACTCTATTTTTAACATTTGAAGTTTGTTTCCTTTGCTCAATGCTGGGGATCTAACATGGTGGATCTTTAAGTAGATATCAGGCAAGTATTTATTGTTGAATGATTCCTCCAGCCCTTGAGTTTTGGTTTGACTAATACATGAAAAAATAGTACTAGTGACATAATTAAACTATGTGAAAACAGTAAAACACACAAAGGATGGTGTTTTTTCATTATGTGACATTATCTCCAGCGCTGGACGTATCTATTGGGTGATTGTGTGATGTAGCACATAGGAGGCCTTCGTACTTCCTATCTAATGGATAAAGCACAGAAATGTATTGGCCAGGAGTAATAATGGCTCCCCAAATGAAGAGCCAAGGACTCACAGGCACTCAGACTGGCCTGGGACTCAACTATGTATTCTAAGCTGAAGTTGAACTGAGGTGATCCTCCTGCCTCAGCTTCTCCAGTGCTGAAACTGTAGTCACAAGTCACATACCCAGCTTTACATTGATAAAT